GAGAGCAGAGAGAGAGAGAGAGAGAGAGAGAGAGAGAAACACGTTGCAGCTCCATCTATCACGATATCACGCAACTAATCTACTGCTCTGTTTTATTCCGCAGCCTCGATTTGCACACACACATATGCGTGAAATGTTTTTTTATATATAACTTTTTTATTAGACTTGCAATCTCACTTTTAATTGCTTACTAATATTTCTTCATATAATCCTTACCGCGCATACTATATTTCATGCACAGACAAACTGCAAAACTTTTTTTATTAAATAAGTATTATTACGAACTGACACAAAGCAGCCGATAACAAAACTGTAATTTTTGATTTTTATATGATTTATATATGCAAACATAGCTAGCGCGGTCCGTTTTTATAAGTACTTTAATCGTGGAAAAGGATTTATTGATCAGTATAGTCAATAAAAAGTTATATGAAAAAAATAAATATTCTCGCATTCGGTCGGTAAAAACATCATTTAGGATCCCCTTAAAATCCTTCAAATTTGCTATTACTTATAATAATCAAAAATTGTTTTTTAATTGATTAATTAATTAGATTTTTAGTTTGATTTACAATTATTTGATTTCGTTATATAGATTTTGATATAAATATCCGAGAGAGAGAGAGAGAGAGAGAGAAAAAGAGAGAGAGAGAGATAGAAAAAGACAATAATGTAATATTTTTATCAATAAGTGTATCATTTATTTCAGGCAATGATGCCGAGATCCTCGATCAATCCTGGTGCGGGTATTGTAAGCCGAAATATCACATTGTAGAAAACATGGGACCTTGTGAAATTCCATCACCGGCTTTGTATTCGATGAAAACGCGACACAGGGACTCTAATATACCAATGTACGAAACGTTGGAAGGAAGACATGCAATAGACGAGTTGTCACATAAATTCGCACGAATACCATCTAGATATACCAAAGACACACCAAACATTTTACGCGATAGGACCAGACACTCTGCGCAAACAGCACAGGGTGCAACCAGGATGTCCGTTCATTATGATGCTTAAATCATTCCTTTCTAATTTTGTCACTTTTATAAAGGAAAATGAAGAAAGCTAATGTTTTACAGATGTAATACGCAAAATTTTTAGGATAAATTGTCTTCCAAGAATATATCTGCAAAAAGTCGAAACTTGTTTCTTATGTTTTGAAGAATAATAATTATTAAAATAAAACTATCGAAATAATTTTTAGAAATAACTCGCTGCATGTTACAATATGTGACATTGAAAACTAATTCAGATAATTATTACGAAAGATATTAAATATCTTATTATGCTTTACGAGAAAAAAAGAGATATTTAGAGCAAAGTTTTTTCTAAATATAAATATTGCTGCTTTGAAACTATCTTTCACCGAATCATAATGTTAGATAATTCAAATGACGCGAAATCCGATAAAAGATAAAATCGAAAGTTGACACAACGAGAGATGCAAATCAGAAGATCGCATCTTGTAACAATCACAGACGCTAATAATAATGCTTCTATTCTCAATCACTTCCTTTCTACCGGTTGTCCAATATATATTTTTGTAACTGTCTTTCGAATCGTGTAGATGTATTCTGTGTAGTTTAAATGATAAAAATTTATGCTATGAAAGCATGAAAATTAGTTTCGCAATGTACATACAAATTAAATAAAGCCAATAAAGCTGACGTCAAAGCGATATATGTACATCTTACTCAATTTTAATTATAAAGAGACAAATGTCATCTTACGTCTTTTGGCACTGGCGCACAAAAATTAACTGTAAATATGTGATACTATAATTTAACGAACTATACAATAGACGTTACGCGTACATGTCAATTGGAGAATAAACTCTAAATTGTACATTAAACATAATAGTCTGTTTAATTATGTGACCTCAAATCAATATCCATACCTTTACAATAATACCCATATTAATTTGCAATAATACATTTGACAAATTATATTTATATTTTTTATATAAAAAAATTAAATAATTTACAGCACAAAAAATATCATTTAATACTAACTTAATACCGCCAAAATAAATATAAGTTTGTTTAAACTTTATAATTATAACACATGGATAATATTCTTAAGTTTTTCGGATCTATGAATAAAAGAATTATTATCGTATATTACGCGAGTTGCAAACAATTTTTACTCGTGATCAAAGAAGAGGAAGTATATAAGCTTTTTATATGGTTACCAGCCGGACACAAAGGATAAGCTCCGACTGAAGCTTTTGTTTAAATATATTAATAACGTTCAGAAACTATGTCGCACTAACATACATAACGGAGCAAGATTACGGTCTTTGTTCAATTAAACGTAATATCTTTATTACTTCAACACAATGTAAAAGTGGATGTTAGTTATTATAAGAGAGATGTGATGATATAGGAATTTAGATTTTTATAAATTAAATATTTTGTAAACAATAAATATATTGTCCTTTAACTAAAAGAAATGAAGATAGTATATATGTAACAATTTAATAATATATTTACAGATAGTTATTATATGGCAGATAGATTTCTTAAGTTTTAATAATTGTTAATATAATCTTTAAAAAAATATGACATTGTTACAAAAATGAAAGACTATTAATGCACATGTGGATCACGCATATTATTCTTTTATATACAAAATTTGACATGGGTGATTGTTCCGGAACCGTTGAAAATAATTGAGAGTCTCTGCGAAAAGTTAAATGTCGCGCGATCAAATATATTGAGAACCATTCAATCGTCGCATTAGCGAATCACGAATTTCCACGCGACCGAGGCATAGCGCGTAGCCGATCCTTCTCACACCTCTTTGTAATTCGCATTCGCGGTCCCTTTTCGCCAACTCAAGTGCGCGGTGTATCGATTAGAATCTGTCGCGCACCCCCGTTTATGCCTATCTGAGTCGCTAATATCCTTCCTCGTTTCCCGTTCCTTCTTCTTGTTCCGGCTCTCAGTGTATTAACACATTGCCTCGTTATTGGAAATTCGTATCACGCGTTGTTCACATAATCCTTCGAGTTACGAAAGGGATTCTTTTCCGCCGGTCATCGGCAAAATTTGTAGAATATTGTGCAAGCGATATTTTCCATTATTTCAGTTTTATTTGTGAAATACATGCATAGTTCGGCTGCAATTACGACCGCATGTATCACCACGTGCTCCGACATTACAGTGTTCCGGAGACTCTCAGAGACCTCGATCTCGCGAACGGTGCATCGCGCATCCGCGTTCGGCTCTTGATCGCTGCGATCTTTGTAAAAATTATCGCGAGAAGATTTCCGTCGAGTACGCGCTCAGCAATTACGATCAAGCACAAGATGTCCGTCCGTTCTCGTTAAAATTGATTGTCCACCGTTCGTCAAGTGTGTCTAATTCGAACTCGAAACTTTAGTTTTTTTTGTGAAAGATCGAATAAACATTTTTTTTAACCATATTCTCAGCTGTTAACAATCAACCCATTCTTCCCTCTATTCCCGATCAAAATTAATTTAATCAGTGCATTCCGCAACATTTCTGGTCCTTCGAGCCGGATCGGGACTGAGGTTTTTGCTTTTTTGACTGTTAACAGCTGTGTTTGTGCTACGCGTTCAGTAGTGAACTCGTTCGATTATCGCGTAGTGGTGCAATAAAAAAAAACCTGTGTAAAATGGAATCCTTCGAAGAATTGATGCACGAACAGTCTACAAAAATGAGCTCAGTTATTCGTGCGATATCTAATTTTAAAAAGTTAGGTCAAGCCAAAATGACCTATGCAGTGACGAAAAATCGCATGGAAACATTAAAAGAAAAATTCGAACAGTGCTCAAAATTAGATGCCAAATTACACGCTTCCGCTGACTCCAAGGAGAAGACCACGCACCCCTACTTCTCAGATCACGAATTTGACGAGTGCGAAGAAGCCTACGAGACAGCGTTGGATTATTTCGCAGAGGTTGTACATGAACTCTCCAAATCATCAGCTCATCCTGCAGCTAACGTAAGTCATTTGCACGACTGTCAGTCTCATACGACACTCAACCTACCGAAGGTCACATTGCCGGTCTTCGATGGATCGTTCGACAAATGGGAGAGCTTCCGCGATCGTTTTCAATCGATGATTATAGAAGAAAAAAGCCTGTCTAACGTACAAAAATTGCATCATTTATTCTCGTGTCTAAAAGGCGAAGCGCTCACCGCGATCGAACATTTAACGATTACTTCTGATAATTTTGCTGTAGCGTGGACGATTCTTTCGTCCAATTTTGAAAACGAGCGTCGGCTAATCAATTCGTATATACATCGCTTATTTACACTGCCCAATGTCACGGCGAAATCGGCGACCGAACTTCGAGCTCTACAGAGCAAATTAACTGCCGCAATTGCCGCGTTAAAAAATTTGTCTCGTCCGGTCGAACACTGGAGCGATATTTTTGTTTATATTATCACACAAAGACTCGACAAATCCTCGCGCGAAGCGTGGGAATTGAAGTTAGGAAAAACAACCGTCTATCCTACGTTTGACGAAATTAGCGCGTTCTTGGATTCTCGTATTCGCGCTCTCGACGCCCTTGTACCGATCGCTTCGACACTCGATAAACAAAGCGATAAATCAAACGCGAAATTAAAACAAAGGGCTGTCACTTTGCATACAACAAGCGCCACGAAACTTTCGTGTCCCGTGTGCGAATCGAATCATTTGTTATATCAATGTACCGCGTTCCTCGGAAAACGCCGACTCAGCGATACGAAATTATTCGTAACGGCAAGCGTTGCCTTAATTGTCTCAGTTCGAAGCATCAAGCAAAAGAATGCCCGAGTACCCGCTCGTGTAAAGAATGTCACAAAAGGCATCACACGCTTTTACATTTTTTTGACGCTCCGAAATCAGCTGTTCAAGCGTCATCGTCTCCCGCGTCAACAAATCCCGTCATCTCGACAAGTGACGTTTCCTCGCATATCGTTGCGAAAGCTGTAACAGCGCGTCACATTCTCCTTGCAACTGCTCGCGTTCGCGTGCATTCAATGCACGGTCGATTCCAATGGGCCCGAGCGCTCATCGATCAAGGATCTGTGTCATCCTTTATAACCGAAAATTTAGTGCAGTCATTAAGACTTCCGAAATTAAATACCGCTGTTAGGGTAACAGGTATCGGCGAAACGCAGACAAGCGTTCGACATGCCGTTCATCTAACGATAACTCCCAGCAACGCGGACACTCCGGTTTATAGAACCACCGCGTTAATTTTAAAATCGTTAACTCGATATTTGCCAAACCGTCTCGACATTCCAGAGCAATGGCCGCATTTGAATGGCCTTTCGTTAGCTGATCCCGATCCCGCAGGATCAGATCCAATAGAAATAATTATCGGAGCGGATCTTTTCGGGTCACTCATCCTCGACGGCGTTCGAAAAGGCGCGGTTGACGAACCGATCGCTCAAAATACCGCGCTAGGCTGGATCATATCCGGACCTATAGCGCAACTCAGACCGCTCTCGCAGTCGTCCATTGGAGTACATCATTGCTCTGTTACGGATGATCTCAATCAAACTCTCCGCCGATTTTGGGAAATCGAAGAAATTCCCGCTTCATCGAAAATAACTAGTGAAGAAAAGGCATGCGACGACCATTTTAATTCGACACACTCTCGAAATTCTGAAGGTCGCTATATCGTCAGACTTCCATTTAAACACGGACCTCCACTCAACATTGGAGAATCTCGACATTCCGCGCTTCAGAGTTACCTTCGCACGGAAAGCCGCATTAAAACAGATTCATCGAAATCGTCGGAATATCATAATTTTTAAAAGAATATTATGATCTGAGACACATGCAACGCGTCTCAGAAACCGAACAATTAATCGACTCGAATCAAATCGTATATATTCCGCACCATGCCGTATTCCGCGCTAACAGTTTAACAACGCGAATACGTATCGTTTTCAACGCTTCAAGTCGAACCTCAAACGGTACGTCATTGAATGATCATTTATATCCGGGCCCTAAACTTCAAAAGGACCTTGCTGCAGTGATTTTGCGTTGGCGCACATTTCGATACGTTTATTCCGCCGACGTGGCAAAAATGTATCGCCAAATTCAAGTCGATCCTCGCGATCGTGATTTCCAGCGCATCTTCTGGCGGCCATCTCCAACACATCAAGTTGAGGAGTATCGTCTCTGTACCGTAACGTACGGCATGACTTCAGCTCCGTACTTAGCTTTGAAGGTCATGAATCAACTCGCCATAGATGAAGGCGCTTCATTTCCATTAGCCACATCCGTTATCGATCGTCAAATGTACGTCGACGACTTTATCTTCGGCGCCGACGACAAGGTTCTCGCTCGTCAAACTCGCGAGCAGATTGTTTCTCTTCTCAAAAGAGGTGGATTCACGCTACGAAAATGGGCAAGCAACGTGTCCGAACTCCTTGACGAGATCGAAGATACCGACCACGGTCTCGCTCAAAGCCGAGATCTAAACGAAGATGAGAGCTTGAAAATTCTCGGTCTTACTTGGCAACCAGATCGCGACATCTTCAAATTTACCATTACGATTACAGGGCCTCCTGGCAACACCAAAAGAAGAATTTTATCCGACATCGCCAAATTCTTTGATCCACTTGGATGGGCAACTCCAGTGATTATTCGCGCCAAAATTTTGATGCAACGACTTTGGATCGCTAAATGTGATTGGGACGAAGTCGCTCCGCCGAATCTGCTTGAAGCCTGGCAGCAGTATCATACTCATCTTAAACAGCTAGAAGAGGTGATGATTCCACGTTGGATTCAACTCGGCCATCACGTACTGCATCTAGAGTTGCATGGATTCTCGGATGCATCTACCAAAGCATACGCTGCAGCGGTGTACATTCGCGTTGTCACGGTGGATGGAATGGTCTCGGTCAATCTTCTTGCCGCAAAATCAAAAGTCGCTCCTGTCAAAGTAATGAGTGTTCCGCGACTCGAGTTATCTGCAGCTCAATTACTCGCACGGCTCATTCATTTCATTCGCGAAGCTCTCGACTTTCGTGAGGTAAATGTTTATTGTTGGACCGATTCCACAATTACTCTTGCCTGGCTGAGCCGACCTTCTACTACATGGAAGACATTTATAGCGAATAGAGTAGCCGATATTCACACGCTACTTCCGGACATTCCATGGCGTCATGTCCCAACAAAGGAAAATCCTGCCGACTGCGCATCGCGCGGGATCTCTCCGACGACCTTGCCACAAACCTTCAATGGTGGTCAGGTCCCGATTGGCTTATTAAATCTTCCGATTATTGGCCAAAATCTGACTCGGATTTCGATCCCCACGCGCTAAGCGAGCAACGCGCGCAACCACAATCGCTCACTACATCCGTTATCGCATCGTGGGACCTATCACAACGTTATTCGTCATGGCACAAACTCCTTCGAATAACTGCATACATCTATCGATTCGTAACGAATTCCCGCTCTCGACATATCAATCTCAATCTGAAGATACAAAACCCTAGAGCTCCGATCTACCTAAATCCGATTGAAATTAAGTCCGCTGAAATCTTTGGATTCGTTACATTCAATCAGAATTGTTTCATAGCGAAATATCAGCACTCAGTACGGCAACTCCAATCAAGAAATCTAGCACACTGCTTTCATTAAATCCTTATCTCGATAATGATCAAATAATTCGAGTCGGTGGCAGGCTAAGGAACGCCACCTTACAAAGCGCCGTTCGCAATCCGATTGTCCTAAAGGACCATACCTTGGTCAGGATGATCATCATGGACACCCACCGACGAATGCTGCACGCTGGATCTCAATTAACATTAGCTCGGATTCGAGAGAAATTTTGGATTCTGCGAGCACGATCTCTGGTCCGCGCTGTACTCTACAAATGTGTATCATGTACACGAGAAAGGGCTCAGATTCCTACCGAGCTCATGGGCGATCTTCCGAATGTAAGAGTAAATCGCTCAGCTCGAGCATTCGAACATGCCGGTGTCGATTATGCCGGTCCAATTCTTATACGAACCTCTCGTGGACGAGGTCATAAAGCGCATAAAGCCTATATTGCCGTGTTCGTTTGTATGACGACAAAGGCGATCCATCTCGAGCTCGTTAGCGACTACTCGTCAGACGCTTTTCTCGCCACATTAAATCGTTTCGTTTCTCGTCGCGGATATCCTGCATCGATTTATTCGGATAATGGAACCACATTCCAAGGTGCCGATCGCGAACTTAAACTCGCAATCGCGCAGGCTTTAAAAAATTCGGATTTGCAAAATACGCTTTCGACCGACGGAATAAACTGGCATTTCGTGCCTCCTTCCGCTCCCCACTTCGGTGGATTATGGGAAGCTGCCGTACGCAGCGTCAAATACCATTTAAAGCGCTGTATCGGTTCACATACGCTCACATTTGAAGAATTAAATACCGTTCTTTGTCGTATCGAAGCGTGTCTTAACTCGAGACCTATTGGGTCTGTGTCCGAAAATCTCGATGATTATCATGTATTAACACCGGGACACTTCCTCATCGGAGGACCCATCTTAGCTGCGCCACAGCCAAGCGTTCTCGATCTTAACGAAACTCGTCTTTCCCGCTGGCAATTGTTGCAACATATTACAGAAAAATTTTGGAAATCATGGTCAAACGACTACTTATTAACGTTGCAGCAGCGGCCAAAATGGAAAATTGCGCAACGACTTGCGACTGTAGGCCGAATCGTTCTCTTGCGGAACGCACTTGCTCCTCCGTCTCACTGGGAGCTCGGACGTATCATCGAATGTCATCCCGGCAACGACGGACTCGTTCGCGTCGTTACCGTGCGCACCGCGCGTTCACAGTATAAGCGTCCAATTGTAAAATTATGTTTTCTTCCGATCGATATCAATACTTCAAGCGATCAAAGTTCCGCCATGGCGGGCGGCACCGATTCCGATTAGACTTAAGTAATAATGTTCAAAAATTATTGTACTGCACCATTTGGTTGTAAAAAAAAAACTTTCCATATTCGTATTGTAAGCGTTCTAGTCATAAATTGTAAGCGTTATAGTCTTTACTTCGAATAAAATCATTCGAGACGGGCGGTATGTTCCGGAACCGTTGAAAATAATTGAGAGTCTCCGCGAAAAGTTAAATGTCGCGCGATCAAATATATTGAGAACCATTCAATCGTCGCATTAGCGAATCACGAATTTCCACGCGACCGAGGCATAGCGCGTAGCCGATCCTTCTCACACCTCTTTGTAATTCGCATTCGCGGTCCCTTTTCGCCAACTCAAGTGCGCGGTGTATCGATTAGGATCTGTCGCGCACCCCCGTTTATGCCTATCTGAGTCGCGTCCTAATATCCTTCCTTGTTTCCCGTTCCTTCTTCTTGTTCCGGCTCTCAGTGTATTAACACATTGCCTCGTTATTGGAAATTCGTATCACGCGTTGTTCACATAATCCTTCGAGTTACGAAGGGATTCTTTTCCGCCGGTCATCGGCAAAATTTGTAGAATATTGTGCAAGCGATATTTTCCATTATTTCAGTTTTATTTGTGAAATACATGCATAGTTCGGCTGCAATTACGACCGCATGTATCACCACGTGCTCCGACATTACAGTGTTCCGGAGACTCTCAGAGACCTCGATCTCGCGAACGGTGCATCGCGCATCCGCGTTCGGCTCTTGATCGCTGCGATCTTTGTAAAAATTATCGCGAGAAGATTTCCGTCGAGTACGCGCTCAGCAATTACGATCAAGCACAAGATGTCCGTCCGTTCTCGTTAAAATTGATTGTCCACCGTTCGTCAAGTGTGTCTAATTCGAACTCGAAACTTTAGTTTTTTTTGTGAAAGATCGAATAAACATTTTTTTTTACCATATTCTCAGCTGTTAACAATCAACCCTTCTTCCCTCTATTCCCGATCAAAATTAATTTAATCAGTGCATTCCGCAACAGTGATGGTTAGTAACTAATATTCGCTCGTTATGCGAAAGCCTCATTGTCACCGTGATAAATTAGCATACGACCCGTGTCAAAACATCACAAAAAGCTTTTGACGCACAATCATGTAGACTTCGCCATTACGGAGATACGAGGAAGATATCAATCTATGCATAATATACCATTTCATCACAAATTTCATTTATCCAAAATCAATTAATATGGTTATTACCATTACAAAATCCTCATCATAATTAACATCATCATGTATATTTTAAAAGTCATTATCGGTAAATCATAAATTTTCATATGTGTTAAAAATATAAATGTGTGTTAAAAACACGAATAATTAAATATAATATTACTTTAATTATTTTTTAAATTAAATTAAGCAAGTTAATTAAGTATGAAAAATAATGATAAAGCCGTCTTATATAACTTTTATTACAATTAAGAAGATACTACACGTGACTGTTTTATATGCTTAGTGACTTTTCATAATCTATTGTATTAAGCAAATAAAAATTCAAGTCTTACATTTAGTTTTTACATTAAATATTGTTTGAAAAAAGTGTTCCTACATCCATATATAATAATATAATATATTTCTCTAAACATAGAAGAAATTTAAATATACGGAAAAATAAAAAATATATAATTATATTTTTTATATCTTTTATTCTTGTTTCTTTTCGAGTAAATTTATAAGTTTGCAAATTTCTTCGAAACCGACAGATCATCGTACAAAGAAACTCATGCGTAAATAAAGCTATGCGATAAGATCGAAATCGTCACAGGACGAAAAAGAAGAACGAAGGCGAGATGAGCTTCGATATCTCGCGCTACAACCCTGTGCGAGATGTAAGCTCCGCCCTATCCCTCGGTATAGCGGGACTTCCAAGAGCTCTGCAACCCCCACTTCAACGGAGGGTATCCCAACCCCTGCTCCATCGTCGTTGGCATCCGTGGCATTCCAATTAGCTCGCGAATCAAAAGAGCCCCACTGCCTTTGTGGGTCTCACCCTACCCCCAGTAAACTCGCTTGTTCTCTCTCTATCGCTCTATCTCGTTAACCACCCTCTCTCTGTTCGTCTATCTATCCGCCTTGCTATCTGCTTTATCGCACTTTCCATATATTTATCTTTCTGTCTAAATCACTACGCGTGTATATGTACAGTTTTCCATGCATTATTTTATACACGTGTTTTCATTTTTGTATACAATTTTGTTTATATAAAAGCATATCATCGTATTTGAATTATCCATTCTGACAAAAATATATTTGCTTTGTAATTTGGAAACCGTGTTTGATATATTTTTAAACGTAAAATAAAAATATAGATTTAATGCAAGTTATATTTTTTATATTCTTTAAAAGTATAGACAATAAACAAAAATTTCTTTTATACTATCCTCACAGCCCTTACCTAGCTCTTTTCTTTCTTTTTTCTTCCAAGTTTTCCCACCTTGCTTTGCTCATTACTAACATCCCTCCGTTTATATTTGTTGCTTTTTATCTTTTCCCCTTTCTCACTGAATCGTTTCCGCCTCCTCTACGTTATATTCAGCGTCCTTCATTCGCGGTGGTTTTTAGTGAAATAAAACCAAGCACCGGTAAAGAGCAGCCCGTTACGAGAGAACAGAGGTGGGTGGATGGGATTAACCGCAGTTTTTAATCGTGAACCCTCTTCTTTGACGAACGAGATTCATATAAACGCATGA